ACTGTCCTTTGTTCAGCACCTCCCTCTAAATCTTCTGGCAACACTTGTTGTGTTTACCAGGACCTGCCCTGTGTGGGAGAGGTAACATGTCTGGTCTTTACACTTGCAGCATCTTGCTGTTGAGCAGCAGAGTTGAGCACTTCTCCACCAGCACTGCCTGCTTGCAGAGCTTGACTGTTGTCATGCAACAGTTTTTAGAAAGTGCTGATTACTGGTGTACTGATACTTCTGGATTTTCTTCCAGGGGTTTAAACATGTCCGAGTTTGTCTGCGACCCAAGAGCAGGCTCATATGTGTATGACCTCATTGCAGTTTCCAATCACTACGGAGCCATGGGAGTGGGCCACTGTGAGTAACTGCTTCTCTGTCCTTTGTGCACAAGGGAATGCAGGCAAAGGGGTCATGGGAGGGCTCTGTGTGTTGGAGCAGCCCTTACCATGTGGATAATTTTGAGAGTGGAGATCAGTCATGAAAAGGCTTTGCAGGGCTTTAGTCCAGTTTCCTTCTTGAGTGAGGACTTTTGCAAGCACTAGATCAGAAAACTTCTGTCCTGAAGAAAATATGAAAACATAGAGACTTAAACTGTGTGTTTCGGAAACCTCTGGCTCAGGGGTGAACAAAACACTAGTTCTTTTTCTGAGTTTCTTTGCCCTTTCTTTCCTGGAGCACTGAGCTGCAGTTTCTTCTTGTGACAGACACTGCCTACGCAAAGAACAAAGTGAATAACAAGTGGTACTACTTTGATGACAGCAGCGTATCCCTGGCTTCAGTAGACCAAATAGTGGTGAGTATTGGGCCTGAGGCTAATCCTGAGTTTATGCTGAAGGTGTGTGTAGTTCTCTGCTTTGGGCATTATGTTTCCAGCCAAGCTGTGTGGATTGTTTCAGATTGGTTTTCTTCTTTGTTTGGTAGACAAAAGCTGCATATGTGCTGTTTTATCAGCGCCGAAACAGCGAGGAACTTCCTGCCCCATCTCCTCCCCAGGAAGAGTATGACGGCATGGACACCAACTAGACATCACCTCTAGCACTTGGCCACCATCTTAGCGGTCGCTCTTCTAAAGCCATGCCTGAGGCATCTGAAAATTTTTCTTACTTCTGTAGGAGTCAAGCAGAAAATCTAGCACTGAAAGATTCAGTGCTGAGGGTTGCAGAATAGCACTGGAGGGTCAGGAATAGGTGCTGACACTTGGGTATTTAGAGGCCAAAAATAATATATATTGGAGCTTCAATAAAGATCTTTTTAAAATCTGGCTGAGCTGTGTGGCTAGAGGCAGGGATCAGGGCTGAGCTGGGCTTGGGCTGGGGGTTGTTGCTGGTATTGGTAAAGCACAGCCTGAGCTGGAGGCTGGTCACAGCTGAGTCTTGCAGGGGCTCATGGAGGAGTATGGTGGGTATGATTCTGTGAATCGGTGTGGGGCTTCTGCCAGCCCTCTGTTGCTGTTGGGCCCTGCCTGTGTCAGGAAGGCTTGCTGCACCCTTCTGCAAGCTCAGTTCAAATCTTGGTACATCTGGCCTGTCTGTCCCAGGCTCTGCTGTTGTACCTTGGTCCCCTTGCTATGCAGCAGAAGTTTCTCTTTCTTGTGTCCTTTCATCGATGCATTTGAGGCTCTTCTGGCCAGTTCTGACTCAGCCTTTTCCATGTGAACACTGCATCCTGTAATGTAGGAAACTTCAGTGGAAGTGATTCACACCTGAGTGGATGGCACGTGTGCAGGCTGATCCTCACAGTGGCGCAGAACACAGCTGCTCTGGCTCCCATTCTGCTGCAGAGAAGGTATCATCCATAACATCAGTGATTTCTTGTGTTCTCCATCCTGTCTCTCCTATACCACTCACTTCCAGGCTGCTCTGTAAGCACTTTTCTGCTTCCACTATTTATCCTATGGTTTGTGTAGTGGCAGCATTTTTATCCTTTTTTGCTCATTTGTGTGAGTCCTCGTAGCTTTTTCTCCAGCAAAACTCAGTGCTGTGTCCCCAGAGCTGTTTCCTGTAAGGAGGACAGCCCAGTGCAATGAATTGTGGGAGGTTTTAGCCTTTTCTCTTGCGACTTTTTTATTTGGTTTTTTTTTTCATAATGCTCCATCAGCCTTTCTCCTCCACCTCCCTTGAGCACTGCCCTTTAGGTGTCCCACCATATCATCTTCTGTGAGGCTGTGGGTGTCATGGTCACGTCTGAGGTCTCTCTCTGCATTAGCTGCTCAATCATTCTCCATCCGTTCAGCCCAACTAGTAAGTGCTCTTCCCTCTGTCCTTTATGGTCTGTGTTACTTGTAGAACTCAAGTCCAGCTTTTATCTTGAATGAGGACTCCTGTGAGCACTAGATCAGGTCACTCCTCAGTGGAGAGCTGGTCTTCCATGTGAAAAAAAGGGAAAAATCCAGAGCCTTAGCCCATGTTTTTTAGGGCAAGATTTAGCTCAAGGTGGTGAACCTAACAGGAGAGTTTTTCCTTCTTGGAGATGAGTGCATTGGCAGAACAGAAGGCTTAAGACAGGCTACTGCCCTGCTTGTTTTTCCCCCAAAATGTGTGCTTGCAGCCTCTCAGTCCCCTGTGCACAGTCCCTGTGGCTTCACTGCTGACCACAACCTTCTCTGATGGTCAGTGTAACAGTGGCCATCCTTTTAGCTCCAAATACACCAGCTCAGCTCCTTTTCCACAGCTCTCAGTAACAAGCCCTATAGCAAAGTGTTGTGTGCTTGTCCCTGCACCTCTGCTGTGCTGCAGCCCAGCAAAAGCCCAACCAGCTACTCCTGATCTTCTCCTGCTCCGAGCAATGGGAAGGGAGGGCAGCAGCATGTAGCCTCTCAGCCAGGTGATGGGGAGGAGGAGGGAGGGCTGCCTGTAGCTGGCAAACTTCTGTTGTGGTCCTCTTCCACGGAATTTTGCTTTTAAAGTGTTGGAATTTGGAGATCAGAATTGCTTAGTTGCTTCTGCTGTTCTGATTTGGGGTTATTTGGGATTTTTACAACTCTTAATCTTGTATTTCTGTTTTTTTCCTTGTTACTGAGGGGAGCATCCAAAAAGCAATTTTTAAGCTGTAGCACTGCACTGAGTTACTCTGATCAGCATTTTTTCATTCATGTTAACCTGTAAGAAAATCATGTGGGCATTCCAAAATGGGAGAGAAAAGGGAGGGGAGCAAAAGACTTTTTTAAAAGAAAAATCAATCTGAAATAGCTTTTGTTTTCCTCCTCACCTCTCTGCCTCTGCTGACACTGAGAATCTCGTCAGTGGGGCTTAATCTCTGATGCTCAGATGCTGAACAGACTGTTGTACTGCAGAAAAACTGGCCCAGCTCTTATCTTCTCTGCCTCTGAGCTGATGGGCTTCGGCTGGTGTGTGTGTGCTGTAATACCAGACCTGTTTTTTAGACTAGCACTTTGTAAGTGGCTGGCTTTTATTGTACAAAGAGGAAAATTAAAGAGTGGTTTGCACTGAAACTGGGTTTTGTTGTGTTTTCCAGCTTTCTCTGTGTGACCCGACACTACTGGTTGTGGGGATGCCTGGTGCTCCAGGAGCTCTTTTATCTGGGGCAGGGCAAATCCTGCAGAGCCAACCCCTGCTCTGTCAGTGGGGATTTGGGAGAAGAGCAGCTATCTCCTGCACTGCTCTATACATCTGAGAGTTGGAGCTTGCTCCAGAGTTGCCTTTTCTCCCCTGTGGTGCTGGTTTGCTGGTATCTGGTGCAGTAGCAAAGCCTGTCCTTGTCTTTTTGTGGCCCTGGGCAGGCACAACTATGGCTTCCTCATCATTCATCTTCCTCTATGGATCTCAAGGGGATTACTGGCCTTACTTCTGTCCTTTTTCTTCAGGGCTGCTAGTGGCTGTACCACTGAAATCATTGTCCTGAGGTTGCTGCAATTTCCTCCTCAAGGCAACCTGAACACATATATCAGAGCAGGTTGGAAGACTGAGGAAGTGGCAGCTTTTGGATGTGGAGGTGTTTGGGCACATAGGCATGACTTACACAAGGATGCAGAGGGCCTGAAGTCAGGTGGAATTCCCTAGCACAGAAGGGAGGGAAAAATAACCTGAAACACAAGTTATGTTGCCAGTGAAGCAGTGTTGTTGTCAGCATGCAGAAAAAGGGGTCTCTGAGGCAGAGCAGAACATCTCCAAGCTGAGGCTCTTGTTAAAAGGGGAGATGATTTTATCCCACTGCTGGCTTAGCTCCTACTCTGCTGAAGGTGTGCAATTTCCTTCCAAAACAAAGGGCTCAGAATAAAGTGGGAGGAAAAAATAACACCTGCACAGTATGGAAGAGCTTCTGTTTAAGAACTATTTCTCTTGTTTGGAGTCTTCACCCTGGAGAACTGAGGAACAGAAAGCCAAGCAGGTAACATTTGCTCCCTCTTCTCTACAGTGCAAGAAGCATTTAGATGGAAGAGTATTTATTTTCCCCACCTGGCACAGTAAATAACTGAACAAGGACTACAGGGAAGAGCCAGACACCCTGTGTGTGTGGCAGGCAGAAGGGGCTCTGTAGGTGGTCTGAGTTGCTTATAAATCGACTTGGGAAAAATGAAATTAACAGGGATACAATCTGTGTGTTTGCTACATCTCTAGAGGAATATGTATGGTACATACCTGTACCATGCTCTGCCATGGGCAAGTGGTATCTCCCTCTTGCTTTTGTGTATGGAGGAAGGACAACCAGCACTTTCAGAAACTGAATCCTCACACTTGCTGCCAAGTCAGTTTTGAATTGCTAACAACACAATGATGTCTGAATTGCTCAAATGCCAAGGATAACAGTGCATTTGTTTAACACTAGAAACTAACACTAGAAACACGGACACTCCTTGTACTTCAGTTTCACGAAGCTGGAAGTTCCTGAACTCAAGCAAGTTTGCCCTTTGTGTACTAGAACTGGAAGTTGTAGGTCTTTTCTCCAGCATACCTTTCCCAGGAAGAGAAACAACTCCAGCTAGAAACCCACACCTGGACAACACAACATACTCGTCCCTGGAGTTCAAATCAGAATTCTGTAACTGCAGGTCTGAACATGGTGTTTTTCTTTTATTCTCAGCTTTGCTAAAATACACTATATAGTTTTAAGTAACATTTCAAGTTACTTTTACAAGAAGAAACAAAAGCATATTCTCAAATTCAGAAGATGGAGGTCTGAAGTTCTTCCTTAAACATGCCTTCAAAATGGAGGTCCTTTGCCATGAGCTCTTCTTCTACATCTTCTAAGGCCCACTGATGATCAGTCAATTCTAAAGCTTCCCATTCTGTCTGCATGGATAGTAATCAAAGGAAAGTAACATAATATTAAAGTAGTTAAGAACTATGCAGAGCAGCACTTAACTGAAAACTACAACAAAAAAGTTCTATTAAAAACCTGGCAATGCTGTCAGCTCTCTGAAATCAGTGTTTTATGCTTAACTGGGTATTAGTTGGTAAATACAAGTACATCACAGAAGTTAGAAAAGTCACATTATGTGCTTTCAGAAACACTCTAATCTGCAACACTTTCTTCTAAAACAGCTGTCTCTAGAAACAGCCAATTCTCTTCTAGGGGAGGGGTCAAGTGCATTGTGGTTAGTTCATTCTTTAATTCAGAGATATTTGAGAATAAGTTACAGGCCAAAAGCTTTGCAACTGATCACAGACTTGATGGGCCTCATTAGACTGTTCTCCAACCAACACTCCCTGGAGCTGCAGAGGCTAATAATTCATTAAGCCAGGTTTTCATAGCAGCCCTAAGAATATAATTTAATCCTAAATATGAGAATGATCTCATCCCCTACTCATTTTCCACCACCTTGGAACCTCTCCTCTTCTTAGTCCATCATTGTAGCTCATGGTTAAGTACAGTGAAAAGAGCTCCACACAGACTGTAAAATCACAATGCCCAGCAAGAGATTTGTATGTCTTGGCCTGAACACTTCTCCTGCCACATGAGCTTCCTTTCTTTTTCCCTGCTGGGGACCATGGAGCAGGTTTAGGTCCCCACAGGGCTGAGCAGCCCAACTGCTCTGGGTAGGCAGTACTGGACAGAAGTGCAGGGCTGTGAGCCAGGAGAGCACACAGTACTTTTTGGAATTGCACCTCAGTGCTGGCAGTTTGTGACAGAACAGTCACAGTTCCAGCAGAGCTGCAAACTCTGCTCAGCTGCAGTATTAAAGCAACTTTCTGGGAGCCAGCTTTTGCTTTGGAACTAGATCTCAAGGGAAATAAATAATCTTTCTCTGCAGAAGCAGAAGATGGCACATGAATTAATCTTTTGTATTAGGAATGACTAACTCATCAGGTTTGCTTCAGGGCAGCTTCCATGCCCATCATCAGTTGTCAGCTCTAATTTTAGGAATAGGAATCCAGAGAACTCCCTTGCTTGACACAGAAATAGGACGAGTTACAGCCTAGAATCCTGAAAGCCCACAGCAAACAGGAGTATAGGTGGGAATACTGTACCTTAAATGCTTTGTTAGTATCTGCTGGCATGGCCATTGCTGCTCCTGTCATCTGTTCTTGCATCACCCGAGACTGATCTGCAGCTACAAAAGTGAATTGAGAAGTTGATCTTTGTGTCATTTGAACAGCATTTCTTGTAGCACGGTGCTACCAGGCTGGTTTGAAGCTGTAAACCAGAGTTGCAGGAACACCCACAAAGAAATTACTACTGTGCCAGAAAGAGTTCTCATGAGGTATCTTATTCCCATTCCCTACATCTTAGCTAGATTTACGTACAATGTGCAGACAAATGGTGGCAAGTACAGCCCTCTACATTCTAAATAACCCCAGAAACAGAATCAACTGTCCTGCCCTGCATCCAGCATTAAGCAATCTTTGCTAGAAATAAAAGCAAGCTTGAGAGCAACATTTTTGCACACCTATTTGATGAGAAGGAAAGCCATGGAAGCTGAGCAGTTAGCCAGTGGCTCCTGCAGAAGATCTTGGTCCTTGCAGCAGGTGATGTCAAACCTGACCAGTAACCTCACAGAAATGAGAGGCTTTTTAAGCTGGAAATGTAGAAATCCTCCCCCAGCCTTTCTCAGAAGTCCACCCATGGAAGGAGAAGCCAGCTCTTTCACAGAAATGACAGTGTCTTACCATTATCTTGGCCCAGGATGAGAGTATAAATGCTTCTGAGTCCAAACACATTCAAGAAGTACCAGGAAGCAGAGCTCACCCTGATAAATCACAACAAGCATGGGTGAGTTCAGGTCAAAGCTGGCTTGTGACCTCATTTCAGAGCCATGCAAAGACCATTCAAGGGTTATTAATACATTCAAAGTTTTCTAAGTGAATGTTTGATCTTGCTTGCTGAGGCCACAGGCTTACCAGGATGCATCTAAAGTGAGCAGTTCAATTCCCTGCTGCAACATCGGTTTAAAACGCAGTGTCAGAGGAAATGGGACCTTTGCTGCAGGATGAAATAACACAAAAAGGCAAGTTTTACAAAGTAGTTTCTCCTTTCTCTGGAGAGAAAAAAATCAATGCAGTTCATGGAGTGAACAGTGGCAGTGCCACACGCTCACATTGCTTCCAGTCAACTGCTTTCAGGTAGGGAAGCAAATCTCTGATGCAGCCCAGACCCTGGAGGTCACAGTCAGAAACAAGGGCAGAGCCACAGGCCCTGTTATTCCCAAAACTTACTTGTGACAAATCCTGAAAATGTCATGTTGATCCAGCCACCAATGAGGATCATAGGCAGGACATTGGTTACATTCCCTTTCATCATATCTGTCAACATGGTAGGATCTGCAATTCAAAGACTTGATGTAGAGGCATGTGACAAAGGAAATGAGGTTACTTTGCTTCACCAACATCAGCTGTTTTAATTAAGAAACTGCATGAAAGGTAACAGTCCTATCCTACTATCTGAGCTGACTGAGCTGGAAAAGGGGCAATGAACTATTCAGCTAATTGGCTGCTGAGGTCTTTGGCCACAACCTGACAAAAGGACCCAAGGAAGAGCAAGACTTCCTTCTAGCAACACTGAGGGGTGGTCATGGGCTCATGAGACACTAGAGGCTGAAGTTCAGCAAAATGAAGTGACCTGACTTGTTGCTGTCAAAGAGAGGAATCTTGCCCCCTCCCCACCCCCCTCACATTCACTGAGCTCTGCAAAGTTGATTCCCCTTCATACAGAAGGGGAAAACTGGCAGAAAATCACAGTTTTTCTACCCAGCTATATTTATGGCACCTTAACATACCCGTCATGGGGGAAGGAGGCACCACCTTTCTTTTCGTTTTCTTAAAAAATCCATCCTCTGGGTTATTAAAGAAATACTTCCGGGACAGGAAAGACTGGAAACAAAAAGAGTCAATGCCAACACCACAAGAAATAAAAGGAAAGACGCATTATTGCTTGCTCAGACATGCAGATATTTTATGAGCTCTTCTGTAACGTGTATTTCTTTTATGAGAGGTACTTTACTGCCTACATGCTCTGAAGCTCTTCACTTTGTTTCCCTGGATCCATGGTACCAGCTCTCTGGCTTTCTAAAATCCTTAAAATAATTTTAAGAATTCTCTGGAGAAGAATCCCTGTTGACTAAAGAGCTTTTAGTACTTTCTGCAAAGTTCTGCTGGCTCAGTACTGACACTGGTGTATGGGGCATTTTCATTCCCCTGAGCTGACTTCCAGATTTTGCAACATACATACTTGGCAGCAACTGAGCCAATATGAGTGACTGTTTTTTAGTTCAGAGAACATGACAGCTACCTCTCATTATCTGGAGCTTTTATAAGACCCCTCCTGTGCTTCCTGATAGGTATTAAACACGATGGTTTGGACACAGACTTCATTTCAGCATGCAGGTAGAACGTCAAGTAGTGGAAGCAAACACTGAGGTCAGGGAAAAGACATGCACGGTGCTCCTGTGTCCACACTGCCTAAGCATCTGCTACTGACTGCGCTTCAGGACACCCCTGTGGGCTGGGGCAGACCCAGCTGGACCGTCTGACCCTTCGGGGCCCTTGTGCAGAGCCCGCCCCGCGCCCGAGAGCAGCTCTGACCGCAGCTCTGACGCTGCGGCTCCTCGGGCTTCGCGCTGATGCCCAGGAATCCCCGCC